TTTTTTCGAATCAAGCCCCTTTATCATTGGTGGAGCCCCCGGGATTTGATCGACCTTGGCATTATACGTTTCCACCCTCTTGTCATTGGCTACGACTCGTTTTGTGAGTTCCTCGAGAAATTTAGTAATTCCGGGAGTAGTCCCCGATTCTTGCTCGTTAGATTTTACTATGGCGGGCTCTGTTCTGGGGGTGACTTCTCGAAGTGGATTGGAATCCGGCCTGCTTTGTGCGCGAGTTTGGCTCTGTAGCTGAGTTATCGCTACTTGTTGGGCTTGTAGCATCTCGAAGATCATACGTAAGCTGGCCCCGATTTTTCCCGCGTTTTGGGTGTCTCGGGCTACGGATCGATTACCGCCCTGAATGCTTCTTTCCGATTCGGAACGCTGGTTCGCCTCCAAAGCTATTTGTGAGTTGACATCCAATGGTATTTCGACTCGAATTTCGGGTACTTCGATTCGAGCCTCGGGTGCCAAGTTGTTGGTTTCATCTTGAAGGCCGGCTTCGAGGTCGATAGGTAGAGCCACTGCTGATTTGAAGTTGTAAGCTGGAGTGTACTGTAGATTTATATCGAACAATCACTGTTACCCTTAGCCCCACGGTGGGTGCCAAACTGTTTACCCGAAAAATCGGATAACGTTAAATTTAGATATGGTTCTAAGGGTATGCAAATTCCTTTTATACAAAATGACAATATAGGTATTTTTGCTGTAAAATGAGAATGATGGACGGGAAGACTGAAAAATGTATTAGAAAAACAAGCACAATGAAATCTTAATGTATCTTGGAGGACCTGCATCTATTGCAGTCTATACCCCTTTTATAGTAGATGATCACTGCTTTATCTATAACAACATAATAAAATAATACATATAGTGGAGGACCCATGATGGTTTGTTTCTTCCTTGATTCTCGTCAAGATTCTCTCTCGGTGCGGTTGTAACGGCTCTTGTCTGTGAGCTCGGCACTGGCTCGAGCTCGGTGTTAGATCGAACCCCCAGTCTTAGTTCGAGCTCGGTTCTACCTTGGGTCATCGATATTCGGGGCCTGTGTCGATCGGTGTTGCCCCGTAGTTCGATTCGGACACGGGCTCGATAATGATATCGAGTTTTGCTGTTGATTGGTCTTATAGCTCGAAGCTCGACGTTCCTACTTCGGGATTCGTCCGAACTTGTCATGTGGATACCTTTCGATTGAAACATCATTATCTCGACCGGTCTTTATGACTGAGAATTGGTTTTGACCGTACACATCTCAAGATTCTTTAATTATAATTTCACTTCCAAACCGACATAAACATAATTCTTTCCTTAAAGTAAGAGGAGGAAAATGAATCACTTTGTGTGATCAACAGAAGAACTAATTGAATTAAAACTCGTCTATGATTCCAATTAAGACATTTTGCCCACTGGACTATCCAATTGCACACAGGTAATGCCCAACCAAAATGTGCTAATAATTAAAGGTTCTTTTTACTAGAACAGTAGTTGACCATTGTAAAAATTTCTGAGGTTAATTTGAGGGTGATATTCTTTGTTAATTTAATTACAATTAAAATCGGTATCATACGCTCGCATTTTATGTGCAAAACTTTCACCTTCAACGTAACCCAAAATCTAATTAAAACATTCTGTAGCCTCAATTACAGAACATTCAGTCGATGAAGTGTAAATCCATTGCATGTATATGGTCCGGTTCACCGCCAGTCCACAAAGTCACCGCCGTCGCCGCACTGAACAATCCTCCCACTCTCTACACCGGCGGTTCCGATGGCTCCATCATCTGGTGGAACCTCTCCTCCTCCTCCTCAACCTCCAATCAGGTAAAAATCACTTTCGCCTCTTTTAAATTCTCAGTTATGCTCAGCTGTAGCCAATGCCTCAAATCTAACATTTTTTAAATCTATTGCTCATATTTCAGCTCAATTACGACGTAGCTAATTACGATCTTCTTTACGCTTTATTGACTGAAATCACATTTTTGTTCAATTACGAAGCAGTATTTGTTCTTTAGCTAATTGTGATATTCTCTACGCTACATCTGTTGCTAATTACCACTTGTCTACTTCTATCTCAGTATATATGTGCCATTTTGCTTCCGTAAGTTAAAAGAAGAGAAGAGATCTTTGATTGAGAATTTTTTAGCATATTCTTTCTGAACATTGCAACTTACAGTACTATTAGTGTCAAAGCCGGATCCAGGATTTGAACTTTATTGGTTCGGGTCTTCGGGATGCCACTGAACTACTGACCATTTGACTTACTGGCTTCGAAATTTAATATTTATACATATTTAGTAGATTTCTTAACATCTATACATTGGCCGAACCCACCATAGCCTATACTGTACATCCGCCCTTGATTGGGTAGTTTTAGAATATCTAAATTTTTATTCGGGAAAATGAATTAATGTAGGTCCATTTTAGCTTTGTGATTTTAACATATTCTTTCTGAACATTGCAACTTATAGTACTTCTCCCGTAATTGTTTAAATATCTATATTTTATTATAAGAAATTGAACTAACAGTTTGCTTCCTTGAGCTAAACCAAGAGATCTTTTGATTATTACGCTGTTATTTTGAACATTGTACGATATAGGACATATCTCGGAACTCACTATGTCTGCATTATTTTCAAGAAAATGAAGGAATCTAGATCTGATTGAGCTCGTAAGTGAAAAGAGATGAGCAAATTTGGATGGTGGGAGTAAATCGTTGTGATAATCTTTTCTTAGTTGTAGTGTTTGTTAAGGTTTAAGTTTATAAGCTCTTCTTTTTTTCTTCTTTCTTTTTTGGCTCAGGAAATCACACCGGTTGCCATGCTTTGTGGTCATGTTGCTCCGATAGCCGATCTAGGGATTTGTGTTCCTACTACAGTTTCGGGAGATGGGAAATTAGACGATTCAAATAATGCGGTATCAACTTCTAACTCATCTAACTGTGGTGCATTATTAAGTGCATGCACTGATGGTGTGTTGTGCATTTGGAGCAGAGCCAGTGGACAATGCAGACGTAGAAGGAAAATGCCTCCCTGGGTGGGGACGCCATACCTAATTCGACCATTTCCCGAAAATCGTAGATATGTATGTATAGCTTGTTGTTCCTTTGATCATGTTCATTTATCTGATCATCACTCGCCTGTTTCTATTGAGAAGGGTGAAACAATAGCAGATAGAGACCCACAACATGCTAAACCTGTAAAGTGCACAGTTGTTATTGTTGATACGTATACTCTTGGTATCGTCCAAACAGTTTTTCATGGGAGCTTATCCATTGGGCCTTTGAAATCTGTGGCTGTAATTTCATCCTTTGGAGATGTATTGACGGAGTCAGTGATGATGGTTGATTCTTTTGGTAAGGCACAGTGTATACCAATATTGAAGGAGTGTGATTCAAGCACAGAAAGCATGACCTCCAAGAGTAGCTTGTCTGATGCAGGCAAAATGAATTGGGTAAATGGGTCAAATGACAGGGGACTTCTGGTGGCCTTTGCAAATCGTGGGCCCATTTTAGCTTTTGTATATGGTACATGCTGCATATTTAGTCAAGTAGAGGATGGCAGTGTCATGGGAGAGATATCTTTCTCAGATGATCTGCTCTCTATTGAAGGGAAGTCGTACGTCATTGGTGGCATGTTTGTTGTAGATGATAACGATCTGCTTGATTCTGAAGATTCGGATGCCACATTCATTGAAAATTTTGCTGTATGGAATGGTAAAGGTGCGGCCATAGTATACAGGATATGTTACTCAAGTAATATCTTCAAGTATGAGCCTTTTGCAGCTATCCCTGTCATTTGTCAGGAGTCTGGCATGAGCTTATCTATCTCCTTTGTGCAACTGAACAACTTTCTTTTCCGCATTGAATCAATTTCTTTTCCTATCAACGAATTATTGATTTGGAAACCTCGCCTGACATGTTGGGTATTGCCTAAGCTGCAGGACAAAAATGAGATAAATTGTCAAGAATGCAGACTTTTAGGTGAAGGTAGAATATTTGATGATTGGACTCATAACCAGTATGCCTCTGAAAATGAGATTGTTGGGCAGGTTGTTGATATAGACACAGCAGGTGGGAAGGCCACAATAACTTCCTCCCAAGGTGCTGGTACTTGTTCTAAAGCTATTGATGAAAGGATATCAAACATCACTAAAAATGGAACTTATGAAAGAAAAGAGCTAGTGTCTTCTTCAATGGTTATTTCTGAAGAATATGTGCCTTTGGCTATTGTATATGGGTTCTATAACGGTGATATAAAAGTTGTTCGATTTGATATGTTCTTTGAAGGATTAGATTGTCATGGTCAAAATCCATATCCCGAGTCAAAAGCACATGCCACTCAACATTATCTCTTGGGGCATACAGGCGCTGTACTGTGTTTGGCTGCACAGCGAGCGCTGATTAGATGTCAAGGAGGTAGCTACAGTTATGTTCTACTCTCAGGAAGTATGGATTGTACTGTCCGTGTATGGGATCTTGACTCTAGCAGTCCCATGATTGTAATGCACCAACATGTTGCTCCAGTTCGCCAAATAATTCTTCCACCATCTCAAACAGAACGTCCATGGAGTAATTGCTTCCTCTCTGTTGGGGAAGACTCATGTGTTGCCCTTTCTTCACTTGATACCATGCGTGTAGAGCGAATGTTCCCTGGCCACCCATATTATCCCGCAAAAGTTGTGTGGGATAGTAGAAGAGGATATGTAGCATGTCTGTGTCCAAACCAAACAGGAACATCTGATGCAGATGTTTTGTTCATTTGGGATGTAAAATCAGGTGCTCGTGAGCGGGTCCTTCGCGGAGCTGCTGCTCTCTCAATGTTTGAACATTTCTGCATAGGAATTGACAGAGATCTCCCTCATGGCAGTAGGATAAGTGGAAATACTTCGGCTTCCTCATTGCTTTTTCCTGTTAGTGAAGAAACCAAGTATCCACCATCTCATTCACAAACTCTGGGAAAGGGTACTTCTTTATCAAATATATCTGTTAGTACAAGTGTGTCTGGAAGTACTACGGGATCTAATCAATCTGCATTGTTTGCCTTGCAAAGCAGAAAACAGCCTGTTAAAGGCTCTTGTCCTTTTCCTGGAGTTGCCGCTCTGTCTTTTGATCTCACGTCCTTGATGTCTCTATGTCAGACACATGAGTACTATAGAGCAGAGTGTTCCAATCCTGGTAAAAACCAAGTGAAAGTAATAAGGGTTGAGTCTCCCATTAAGAGGAGTGATTTCAGGGATCAGGAAACTGAAGTACCTAGTTCCAGTGATGAGAGAATCAATGATGAATTTGCTGGTACCTCCAATGAAGCTGCAAGAGGTCCTGAATGGATGTTCTTGCTTGAACAATGCCTGCTTCAGTTTAGCTTGTCTATTTTGCACGTGTGGAATGTGGACCCTGAACTCGATAAATTGCTAGTCACTGAAATGAAGCTAAAAAGACCGCAGAATCTTCTCGTAGCTTCTGGTCTCTTGGGGGATCGGGGGTCCTTGACTCTGACTTTTCCTGATTATAGGTCAACTCTGGAGGTACGTTGATAATTAACTAGAGTTTACCTAGCTTTTGCTTGATATTTCTTCTCATTTACCAATTTCCCTCCCCCCTCCCCAAGAGAAAGAAAAAGAGCATTTCTCCTCACTTCTTTGCCTCTAAGAAATTAAATTGACATACAGCTTTGGAAATCATCATCAGAGTACTGTGCAATGAGATCTCTAACGATGGTGTCCCTTGCCCAACATATGATTAGCTTGTCACATTCCTTTCAGGCAGCCAGCAGGTATGATATTGCTGTGGCATACTTTCTGGCTACTATATGTCATTG